CCCTCAGCCGGTGAGATTTGAACCACTGAACTGCTGAACTAGCAGTCAGCTGAAGTGGCCTGCAGTACTGCACTCTAACTACTGCGCCACTTCGGCTCTGAATGGTGGGGAATGGAAGGATTGATACTCCTTGCAGAGAGTTGGTCATTTGCATCCTTTTTAGAGGGTCGTTGAGGCCACTTGGAGGTTTGTCTGTGTTCTCAGGGTCCAGGTAGCCTCAACTCCTCTCTAAAAGGATGCAAATGACCAGCTTTTCTACAAGGAATATCAATCCCTCCATTCCCCACCATCCAATCAGAGCTGAAGAAGCTGCTTGGATGGGAAGCAAAACGTCTTCCAAAAAACCCCCCAGAAAGTCCAGTTGCCTCTTGAAAAAGCACCTTTGGGACTGCTGTCGCCTCTGCAAATTAAGTTCTGGCAAGCAGTCTTCAAAGCACGAAACACAATGAGCAAAATCTTCAGAAATACAAACTGTTCTCTTCTACAACCACCTTCTATTGATTCCCCAGCCAGGGAGGGGCCATTCAGCGTCCACATTTGATTTGCTTCCTGGGTCAACGCCTTGTCCTCAGTTGATCAGCTCTCCAGTGTTTCCAGTGTTTCTCGACTTTGGCAGCTTGGAGATGTGCGGATTTCAACTCCCAGAATTCTCCTGGCTGGAGAATTCTGGGAGTTGAAGTCCGCGCATATTCAAGCTGCCTAAGTTGAGAAAACATTGCTCTATTGCTTTAGAGGAACGCTCAGGATCAGTGGTCCCCAAGCTTTCTGGCACCAGGGACTGGCTTTGTGGAAGACAATTTTTCCATGAACTGGGTGGGGGGAGGGGGAATGGTTTCATGCACAACCCAGTTCCCACGCATGCGCAGATAAAGCTTCACTCGCTTACCCACTGTTTATACAGCTCAGTACTAGTCCACTGCCCAGAGGTAGGGGATCCTTGCTCAAGATATTTTCTTTCCCAACAAGCCACCTCCCCATTTCTTTTTCTTTTTTTTTTAATGTGGATTTTTATCCGTGAGAGCAGAATTCAGTTGTTTCACCGAAACCCACAGGGATGTCATTCACATCACCTGTTTTTGGAAATGTTCAGAGCAAAAGACTTTCACCTGTGCCGAGGTGTTTGCAAGCAATTTTATTTTGTTTTGTTTTGTTTTGTTTTATTCAGAATTCTATTCTATTCTATTCTATTTATCCTTCCTTCCTTCCTCCTATCCTATCCTATCCTCTTATTCTTTTCTCTTCTTATCCTATCCTATTCTCTTATTATTCTATTCTATTCTATTTATCCTTCCTTCCTTCCTTCTTCCTATCCTATCCCATCCTCTTATTATTCTATTCTATTCATTCTATTTATTCTATTCTATTCTATTCTATTCTATTCTATTCTATTCTATTCTGTACCTGTCCTATTCTATCCTATCCTATCCTATCCTATCCTATTCTATTTATCCTTCCTTCTTCCTATCCTACCCTACCCTATCCTATCCTCTTATTATTCTCTTCTCTTCTATTCTATTTATCCTTCCTTCCTTCTTTCCTTCCTTCCTTCCTTCCTCCTATCCTATCCTATCCTCTTATTCTTTTCTCTTCTTATCCTATCCTATTCTCTTATTATTCTATTCTATTCTATTTATCCTTCCTTCCTTCTTCCTATCCTATCCCATCCTCTTATTATTCTATTCTATTCATTCTATTTATTCTATTCTATTCTATTCTATTCTATTCTATTCTGTACCTGTCCTATTCTATCCTATCCTATCCTATCCTATCCTATTCTATTTATCCTTCCTTCTTCCTATC